ATCCATCTGCACTATTTCACGCTATGGTGTAAATGGCTGACTTGCCAGAAATAGATGCATTTGAAGAGAAAACCTCTGTCCTGGCCTCAGCGCCGTGGACACACAGGGACAGGGAGTCCCCTAGGGGGGCTCTCCTGTGCAGGAGAGGAGGCCCCCACCTGCCCCCGCCACGGCAGCCAAACATGTCTCCAGACATCGCCAGGTGTCTCTGGGTGAGAGAGACTGGGACACGGGGGGAGGGTGTGGTCAGCGTGTGTGGGGAGGGGAGAAGCGCTTCCCTTTCGGGACAGCCTGGGGGGGGGGCCTGTAAAAACCGAGGGAGAAGGTGTTTCTAAGCCAGGACCTGGGGTTTCTGGGCCCCACCTGCTGCTTCCTGGACTCCCCTCCGCTCCCCTCACTCGTTCCGGCCGCCCTGCAGGGTCCTCTCCGCTCGGCCCCGTCAGGCGGGAGTTCTCTGTGAGGTTACCTGAGCTGCTCCAGGTGGTGGGGAGGGGGCTCGGAGACCCCACGGGCGCCCACGTCCACGCTCTGCTGCCAGCACCGCGCTGCCCTCCGTGGCCGTGGGTGGGCCCACGTCTGCTGGCCACGGGCTCCAGCCCTGTCCACGGACCGCCCTGGGCCTGGTCTGCCGGCCAGACAGTCCCGCCTTGCTGTCCCCGCCCCTGGCTTCGTGCGGTGACCTTGTCCCGGGAGAGGGGTGGGTGGCAGCGGGGACTCTGAGCGCCCATGGGCCCTGCCCCAGACGGGACGGCTCTGTGCCAACCCCACTGGACATCCGGCCGAGCGGGCAAGGCGCTCGAGGGAGCCCGGGCCGGTGGGCGGGCAGCCAGGGCCCAGATGCCGGCAGCCTGCGAGCGGGCAGGGCGGCTGGCCACGCGCTGGCCACGAGCCCGTCTCCCCGGCGCGGAGCTGCAGCTGCCCACGTCCTCCCAGAGTCTCCCGGCGCCCGAGCCGCACGGCCCCGGGGCCACTGGGCGCACATTCTGCTCCTAGTGACACCGGCCTGGGTGTTGGGAGCAAAGTGACCGCCCGCTCATTCACGGAGAGTCGGCGCGCGGGCCGGGGGTGTGGGCGGGGTGCGGGGGTGGGTGTGGGTGCAGGGCTGGGGGTCTGCAGGGCCCTCCCCCACGAAGCTCCTGGTCTGGGGTGGAGGGAGGGGAGCAGGCGGCCAGCACACAGATCAGAGGGCGCCAGACGGTGCCGAGGACCCCGAGCTGAGGGGGAGCGGCAGGGAGGCACCCCGGGGGGACCCACAAGCAGGGCCTCCCTGGGAAGGAGCACCAGGCCTCCCGGCGCCAACGCAGGGAACAGCATTCCAGGGGGAGGGAACAGTCTGTCCCCCTCTGCCGGCGTGAGGCTCCAGGAGGCCCTTCACGTAGGTGCCGGGCGGGGCTGCGGGGTGGGGGGCTGGTCTGGGAGCCGCAGGGCAGACCCCACGGAGAGGTCAGCGGGGAGGAAAGCACTCGGGGAGCGAGCGTCCCAGTGCCGTGCGAGCGCCTGCGGGTGGGGAGCCTGGGCCGACCTCCGCACCCCGACACCTGGGGGAGCCCTGGGGCCTGTCCATTCCTCCCTCCGTGTCTGCCAGGGAGGGGGCCGTCCTCACGGAGACCGCCTTCACCCGCAGGTGTGGGGCGGGGAGCGGGGGGCCGGGAGTGACAAGACGCACGACCTCCCAAACACTGCCCTTGCCCCCTGAGGCCAGCCCTCAGAGTGCGGGGGCGCAGGGGCCTCAGGGCACCCCCCTGGCACCGGGAGGCCCAGAGCCTGCAGGTGTACTCCCGTCCCCCGGTGGGCACGTGGGGCCTGGCTCTGTCCCCCGCGGCCGGCCACGCACCCCGGAAGGCAAGACCGCTGACACCGAGGGCCCCAGGCTGCCCTGCGGCGCCGTCGGTGGTCCTGCCAAGGGCTGGACGCTTGTGGAGAGCTCTGAGCCTTTGAAAAAATTATAAATTAGATTTTATTGAGTTTGGTGTGAGACATTTTTGAAAAAATCAATGCTTTCCCGTGTTAAGTCTGGTCCTCACTCCCCGCTCCCCCGGGAGCTGGGTAAGTGCGTCCCTGGCCCCTCCGGACGGCAGAAAACCCCTGCGGGGGCGGGGGGCACTGGGAGACGGGGAGGGGGGGGGGCGGGCGGCGGGGGAGCTGGGATCTGCCCACATCGTCCGTCTGCACGGGCACTTCCTGTCGTCCCAGACGGCGCAGGAGGTCGGCGGGGCTCCGGCCCAGGCCAGTGGTGGAGAACCTGTCCTTCCTCATTTCCCCAAGTGGAGTCAGTTTTCCAGGCTGGCCGCGCGTCCCCGCCAGGCCTCTGCCGGGACCATCTGTTTTCTCCTGCGGCCGTGACGGGGACGGGGTGGCGGGAGCACGGGGAAGGAGCCCGCTCCCCTTCCCACTGGGCACTCCTGCGTGGGCGGGCGCCTGGACAGAGGCACCTCCTACGGGCCGGGGCGGGGGGGGCCCGACCGGGCCGTCCCAAAGGGCCCCGTGCTCAGGGCCTCGGAGCCCATCCGCCTCCACTCCCGCCCGGGGACTGGCCTCACCCCTTGCCTGTGGGACTCCGCTCCCCTGCACAGCCCCTTGTCAGGGCCTAGAGAGCAGCGTCCGGAGCCCCAGGGCCGGCAGGAGACCAGCAGACGCGGGTGTCCAGGGCGTGGGGAGCCTGCTTCCTGACCTGCGCTGGCTCGGGAAGGCGGCCCCCCCTGCAGGTCCCCCCGGGGACATCTGCCGGTCCCCAGCGTGGGCCCCCTGTGTGCGGGGCTCTGCGGGCGCGGCGGTGGAAACACAGGGCACACACGGGGGCAAGGGCAGGCGGCGAGGTGAGCCCCCCGCACGCGGGGAAGGGCCGGCTCCTGAGACCTCTGCGCTGGCGCTGGAGGGGACGGCGGCCCCCACCGGCCCCGTCAGGTCACCCACCCGTCCCCGCCGGGCCGCTCGGCGTGGCCAGTGACGTGGGGGGCGGAGGGGGAGGCTCCGGGGGCCTGGGGACAGCGCCGGGCGCGGGGTGCTGACAGGACAGCGCCCGGCCTGGCAGTGGCCGTGCTGGCCGCCCTTGCGTCCCGTGCGGCTGAATTTTTCCACTCTGCCCCGGCTCCTGGCCGCCGTCTTGGCGAAGACGGCTTGGGCCTGAAAGCTCTTCTGTCTATTTTCAGATGGGCGGCATTCCCGTTGCTGGCGTTGGAGTCACCCCAGCCGAGGGTGTTCGAGACTGGCTTCGCCGGCGGCGGGCTGGGCAGGGGGGCGTGTGTGGTGCCTGACGGCAAACCCAGAGCATCAGTGGCCGGAGAGCCAGCTCGCCGGAGGGACCTGGTCGCGGAGGGAGCGGACATCGGAGCCTCTGTCCTCCGGAACCGGCAAAGCGTCTCTGCAGACCAGAGAGGGCAGAGGGTCCCCGGGTTCCCCGCCAGCCCGGCTGTGGGTGTTCTTGTGGGGGGGGGCTCCCTCTCCACCTCTCCACCCCCCCCCCAGCAGGGGCCTCGCGGTCCTTCCTGGGCCCCTCCCTCTCTCGTCAAAGGCCCAGAGGGGGGGGGCTCTCCTGGAAGGGGCCGGAGCTCCTCCGTGACCGAGGGCGGGCGTGTCCCCTTCTGGGGTCGGCACGTCTGAGTTGCAGTCGCTTTGTCCGGCTTTCCTAAGGGCCGAGGGTCACCAGAGGCCACACCTGCGGGTCCAGCCGGGTGGGGGGAGTGCAGGGTGCTCCTTCTCCCCTTCTTCCACCCAGGCCCCGTGCCTGCCCCGGGTGGGCCCGCTGGAGCCTCCTCCCCGGCCTGGGCTCAGCTGGGGAGCCGGTGCGGGGGGGAGGGCTGACGAGGGGCGGGAGGTGGGGGCCGGGCGTGCGGCCCCGGGACGCGCCCGTGTGCTCAGGGGCGGGCACGGCACCGGCGGCACGCCGTCCCCGACGTTCCGGATGACTCGCAGGTCGGTGTGGAGCCTGCCTCCGCCGGTCTGTGTTCTGCTGAGTGACAGAGAGGAGCCGTCTGCACGGCGGCTGCTCTCTGTGGAGACCTGTGTGCAGGGCAGAGCGACCCGAGACCGAACGGGCCCTTCCCTGGGTGGACCCCAGGGTGCTGGGCGGGTGTGGGAGGGGCTGTCTGTGGTCAGGGGAGAAACCTCCTTCCCAGGGGGGAGGAGGAGGGGGCTCCGTGGGGGCCTGCCTGGGCACTGCCGTGTCCGTGCTCAGGGGCTGGGGAGTGAGTGCCCCTGGCCTCCCAGCAGCAGTTTCCAGACGGACCAGCCAGGACACCCCGAGCCCCTGCTGGGCACGGCCGCCTCTGCCCACTGCCCTGGAGGGACAGCCTGCTGGCCGTGCCTGGAGCCTGCCTTCCCTCGTCCTGACCTGTGGCGCCAGCATCCCCGCCGGCCTCAGGCCCCGGTCACACCCTGGGGTGCAGCCTCCATCCCTGGCCCTGGCCGCAGGCCCCCTGGGAGGTCTGCAGACAAAGTGCAGGCTCCCAGGGGTCGGTCTCCCAGGCCCCACCGCTGACCACTGGCCCCCACTGCCTGCAAGGGCGGAGGGGGCTGGGGGCTCTCTCTGCCGGTTCTTCCAGGACCCCTCCTCCCGGCCCCTCTCAGGCACTTCCCTGCACACCCAAGGGGCAGGGTGGGGGTACCACTCCGGCCGGGTCCACCTAGAGGCCCGGTGAAGAAGATCCGCGTGGGCTGGGCCCTATAAACCAGAGCCTGGCAAGGTCGGTCCCCCTCCCAGCTCGGAGGTGACCAGTCCAGGGCTGCCTGGGCCACTCTGGCCCCTCAGGCGTGCTCGCCTGGTCCTGCCCACCTTGGAGGTGACCAAGGGGCTGGTCTGTTCTTCAGGGCGCACAGGGCCTGGCAACCGGAAGGGGTCCACCAGTCCAGCGGCAGCGAAGCCTGGCTCCGCCGGTCCCGCCTCCTCTCGCTCCTCGCCCCTCCCTGCTCGTTCGCGGCGGGCGCGGCGTCGCAGGGGTTAACGGGGGGCGGGGCGAGGCGGCGGGCGGGGCGAGGTGGCCGCCGCGTCCCTGCGCGAGACTCGGGACGGCAGGAGCGCGGAGCCGCTGCTGCCGCCTCGGCCATGCGGCTTTCGGGCCGAGGGCCTGGGCTGGGGCCCGCGCCGCCCCCCGCGCGTCGCCCCCGCTGATCCCGCGCCCCCGTCGCTGGGCGCCGCCGGCGCCATGGTGCAGAAGTCGCGCAACGGCGGCGTGTACCCCGGCCCGAGCGGGGAGAAGAAGCTCAAGGTGGGCTTCGTGGGGCTGGACCCCGGCGCGCCCGACTCCACCCGGGACGGCGCGCTGCTCATCGCCGGCTCCGAGGCCCCCAAGCGCGGCAGCATCCTCAGCAAGCCGCGCGCGGGCGGCGCGGGCGCCGGGAAGCCCCCGAAGCGCAACGCCTTCTACCGCAAGCTGCAGAATTTCCTCTACAACGTGCTGGAGCGGCCGCGCGGGTGGGCCTTCATCTACCACGCCTACGTGTAAGTGTCCGCGCCCCGCGCCCCGCGCCCGGCGCCCGACCCGGCGCGCCGCGGCCGGCGGGGACCGCGTCCCCTGGGCAGAGCGAAGGGCGAAGATCGGAGAGATCAGGCAGGAAGGAGTTCCGGGGTGCGGGCTTCAGGTCGGGCGGGGGCGCCCGTCCCCCGCCCTCTCCCAGGCTTCCACCCCCCCCCCACCGCGGCCTGGCGGGGTTGCATCAGCCCCTCCCCCGAGGACGGGGTGAGCAGAGCCCCGGGCGCCCCTTCTCAGCCCACGGGGCTCCTCCCCAGGCCACGGCGCCGAACAAAGGGCCAGTGGGGAGGGAGGGCGGCGCTGCCCGTCCTGCCTCTGCCTCTGGACTCCTGGGGGTCCCCCTGGGCTGGAATTCGCCACGAAGACGCGAATGACGGGGGAAGGGCTGGCCTCTCCTGCCCAGTCCCCAAAGCCGCTCACTTCGTCTGGGCAGGCTCCTGCCCGCCTGAAATGGGGAGGGGTCCTCCCGTGGCCGCCCACCCTCAGTCCCAGGCCCAGGCCGGCTGACTCCTGCGCTCTGGTGCCTGCCCAGGGCAGCCGCACCTGCACCCCGACTCCCCCTCCGCCCCCCAGCACGCAGCCCTGACCCCCCTGCAGCTGCTGGCTGCAGAGCAGGTGGGCGCCTGCCGCCCCCTCCTCACTTGAGTGCAGGACCCCTCCTGGGCAGAGTGGACGCCCGGCTGGAGGGGCGCAGCTGCAGCTGCCTGGGGCCTACCCGCCTGGCTCCCGAGGAGGCTGTGAGTCTCCCCAGGCCCCGTGTTCCGGGAACTCCTGGCTCCCTGCGCAGGGCCCGGGGCCTCGGCTGGCGTGGTGTGCACCGGGCCTTCCGTGTGCTGTCCGTGCAGGTCTGTGTGTGCGGCTGTGGGGTCCGCCCGGCCTCTGAACCTCTGAAGAGGGAGAGGCACCCTCTCCCATCCCACTGGACCGGGGCCGGCTCGGCCATTTTGTGTGAAGGCATTTTGGGATGGGAGCGAGGGGGGGATTCTGGGAAACTGCCTCCACCCGACCCCGTGCCCACCCGGGACGGGAGGGGCGTGTCCCTGGGAGTGGGACCTGGGCCGTGTGTTCGACAGACCCTCCGTGGGCCGGGCGCGGCGACCCTGGGAGGGAAATGCCGGGCTGCATGCGGAGAGGGTGGCCTGGGGGGACCGTGTCCCCGGGAGGTGCCCTGAGTGCCATCCCCTGGCCCAGCAGGCGGCCGGCCGACCTGGGAGCCCCAGGGGCAGGGGCTCCCCTGGCACAGGGAGCGTTGGGCCCCCGTCGCCCCCCCACGGTGGCTCTGGCTCAGGCGCTCCCAGGCAGGCAGTGCTCAGATGTGCTGCTCCTCCTGGGGGAACCCTGTGTCCCCTGACCAGTGACCCTCCCACCCCACCTACCTCCCCACCTGGCTGGGGCCGAGGGGCCTCCCCGTGGGACCGGCTCTGGTCACGCAGGTCCTGCCCTGAGGTGACCTCCGGCTCATACCAGCCGACCCACAGCCCAGCAGCAGGGCACGGATGGCCCCTCTGTGAGGCCCCGGCCCCGGCCCTGAGTGGTCGCTCCCTGGCGGGGCCTGAAGGACCCGTCCTCAGTGCCAGCTGCCTCCCAGAAGCTGCAGTGCTCACACCAGAAGCAGGGTGTGTGGGGGTCTTAGGTCTGGCTCTGTGCTCACCTGGGCTGGGGGGTCTGTGTCCTATCGTTTCTTTTCCCAGCTACCCCGAGTCAGGACAGGCAGGCAGGCCGGCCGTGTGCGGGCGAGGGCTTGGGGGGCACTGGCCCCCCCGTTTAGAGGCAGCCCTGCCCCGCCGCCAGCTCGGGCCCCTCCTGACCCCTCTGCCAGGCACCAGCTTCCCGGAACTGCCCTTGCTCCAGCCCGCGGGCGGGGGCGGGGGCAGGCTCAGGGAGGGCAGCCCAGGGGACAGCAGCAGGGGGCCGCCACTGTTGGCTGAGGCGCCGAAGTGCAGGGACAGACCTGCTTCGGGCCTCAGTTTGCCGGTCAGTGAAGTGGGCCCAGCAGGGTCTGGGGGAGAAGCACCCTCGGGGCCGGCTCCGCGTGGGCTCTCCCCACGGGGACACGCCTGTCCCGCTGGTGTTCTCGTGGCCCACCCCTCACCCAGCCCCGGGCAGGGAGCTCCCCACTGTCCCTGTGCCCAGGCCGGCTCCAGAGGCCTCTGTCCCCGGGGTGTGGCTGCCCGGATGCCCTGCTCCCTCGCCCAGCCCTGGCTGATGGAGCAACTCCTGCTTTGGTTTGTGGATTTGTTAATTAAATGAAGTTCAAGCTCCTCCTTCTGGCCTGGAAGTGCGCTGGGCCTGGGGAAGCCAGGGACCAGAGGGAGGGACAAGCCCCCATGCCTGGGGTCCGGGGCAGCACCGAGCCCTCCTGGGCCACCTTTCCTCCGCCCCTTGTCACCAAAGCCCAGTTTCCGGAAGGCGGAGGGGTCCCAGTGGGCCCCTGGGGGCAGCTGCTGTCAGGCGTGGGAGGCAGGCGGCTGCCCTGGGGCCTCCGGGCTGGGCGGGCCTCAGGCCAAGTCCCCCGCCTGCCCTGCCCGCTGCGGAAGGGGTTTTCTCCGGGCAAGGAGCCACGCCCTCCCTCCTCTCTCCCTCCCTCCCTCCCGCCGCCCGCGAGCCTTTCCAGCTCCTCTGGAGGCAGCAGCCCTCTGGACTCCCGAGACCCCGAGGTGCAGGCCGGCCCCACAGAAACCGCTGGGACCCCCTCTCCCAGCTCTGAGGCCCCCAGAGGGTCCTCCGCCTGCTCACACCGGGTGGGGAGTGGGCCCTGGGTGCAGCGATGGCCCCCACAGGCCTGGGCACCACCCTCAGTCACGATGGGCCCTTCACCCGGTGGGGGGGGCGGGCAGGGGGATGCGGCCGAGCTGCTGGCAGCCCTGTGCCCGCTCCTCCCCATGCCCCACCCCCCTCACCTCGCTGCAGGTCTCCGGGCCTGAGGGTCTGTGCCTGGGGAGGGGGCGTCTCCGTGGACGAGGATTTTCCAGTGCAGGGTCTGGAGTTTGCGGGGATGCCTCTGGGGGGGAGGGAGCCACAGAAAGGGCCCCAGACCACCCTGTGGGGGCTGTGTGTCTGCCCAGGAAAGGCCCCGGGGGGTCCTTCGAGAGTGCCCCCATCACAGGCGCCTCAGGGACCTGGTCTCCAGGCTCTGGGAGGCGGGGAGAGGCAGCCACACTTACCGTGGTCCCTGAAACTCCTCACTGGGAGGCCCCATTTCGCTGGTGGGGAAACTGAGGCCAGGGAGGGTTGAGTAAGTTCCAAGTCGCCCCACTCAGGCTGACAGGGCGCCTGTCCCCCAGGGAGGAGCACTCGGGGTGCTGGCCGCCTGATCCCCAACGTCTGGGAGCCGCTGTGAGCAGCTGGCACTCGGGCGAGTGAGGAGGGCCGGCCCACGGGAATGCCTGTGCCTGTGGCCGGGGGGCCTCTCTCTGGCCTGGGCCCCCACGCCCTCTCCTTGACGGCGGCCGGGGGTGCCTTTGGAAGCCTCTGAGGCCGGGGCTGCTGGGCAGGTGCCCCCCTGCGTCCTGGACCCCCATCCCCTTGTGTGTCCAGCCCAGCCGGGGTGCCTTCCCTTTCGTGGCCTCGGATAACCCAAGTGGGGTCACGTCTTTGCTCCTCCCACTTGTCTGCCCTGGGTGGGCGGGACCGGGCGGGAGGTGGGCCTCGGCCCTCAGCCTGGGGCCCCACAGGTCGCTCCCCCCGTCCTCCGCCTGGCTGCGTTCAGGGGCCAGTGCGCGCCAGCCGACCTGGGGGAAGGCCGCAGGGGCTGTATTCTCACCCCCCTTCTTCTTTTTTTTTAAAGATGTTATTTATTTACTTTTAGAGAGGGAAGGGAGAGAGAAAGAGAGAGAGAGAGAAACATCCATATGCACTTGCTGGGGGTTATGACCTGCAACCCAGGCATGTGCCCTGACTGGGAATCGAACCTGCGACACTTTGGTTTGCAGCCCGCACTCAATCCACTGAGCTACGCCAGCCAGGGCAAAACTGGCTTTTTTTGAACCGAGAAAGAGGCTCTTATTTCAAGGTCACCAGGCCAGGGGTCCGGAGGCCGGACTTCGTCTTCTGGGTCCGAGGTTCTGGCCAGACTGGAGGGGTTTCAGCACCGGGTCTTCCCGGACAGCGCCCTGCCCTTGGGCGAGGAGGGTGTGGCTTCAGGGTCCCACCCGGGCGTGTGGTTCTGGGCGGGGAGGGGCTAGGGGTCCACAGCGCCACTCAGGCACTTCGGTTCTGGGCCTGGGTCTCGTCAGACGCGGGACAGGACCGCTCTGAGCTGGTTCTGCCGTGTGGCAAGGCGTTCGGGGCTGCGGCTCAGGCGTGAGGCCGCGGCTCGGACGTGAGGACCTCTGCGGGGCTCCCCATCCCGCAAGGCTGAGTTGTGCACTGACCCGGTCACCACGAGGGTCACGAGGGTCACGAGGCCGAGCCTGCCCGCCCGCCCCACGGGGCACGAGCCGCGCAGCTGGAGCCGCGGTGGAAAGAAGGGAGCAGACCCGGGCTGTCCCCGGAGGGCCTTGTCGTGCACGCGGTGGCGGCTTCCGACCGGACGGCGGGGTTCTGGGCCTGACCGCCGGGCCCTGCGTTTGCTCTTGGGGCGGTGGGGGCGCGCAGGGGAGGGTCGGAGAGGAGAGGCGCCTGCCCCTCGCGCCAGTGAGGGGGCGGCGGCCACCGGCTCAGAGCGGGGCCCGGGGGCCCGGAGCTCTCGGGCTGGCGCGGGGTGGAGGGGCCGCGGTTCCTGCCGCGTGAGGCTGGGACGGATCCTGCTTCCAGCTCTCGTGGAAGGGGACGGGGCTGATGGCCTTGAGGGTCTTGGAGCCCTGCCCCCCGGGGCCCGTGCTCCGGGGGCTCCGCCGGACCCGAGTGGGCGCTGTGGGGGTGACGTTCGGAAGCTATAATAGGGGCCTCGGTGGGTTTGTGCGGCTGCCTCTGCGGCCCTTTCAGAGTGGCCCCGCCAGATGCCGGGCTGGTCGGTGCTGGCGCCCGT